ATATAAGGACTTATACATTTTAATTTGCTATTTTAGTAAACAGAACCTGGAACAGGATAGTAGTAGGTAGTGAATAAGTCTGCTGAATTCAATTTTGATTGAATTCTACATACATTTGACTGTTTGAGTTGTTGAAAGAGTCTGAAAATCTACTACTGGTGAAGCTTAGCAAGCATTGAAACCCTAATCTTAAACTTTCCTCTAGTTCATGCCCTTGTCCTCACTTTCCTCCTTCCCTGGCCACATGAACAAGTGAATATCTATCTTGTTTGAAGCAGATAATATATTAAAAATCATCTTTTTAACTTTAGACTAATTATATCTAGTGTCAATGACATGAAATTTTAGAGAGGAATAATAGGTGTGATCTGTAAACAATAGCCCTGTGCACATTATTTTATCAATTTTTGGGATGAATGTATCACCTAAAATTAAGGAAGAGAGGGAGAAGAGTACTAGAAAGATAAGAAAAAGGGCCATTTAAGAAAGTCTAGAAGGTCTGCAACTACTTGCCTAAAGAAGTGAAATCTGAGGGGTCATTCAAAAAAGACCATTAATGCTCTACATGGAAAGTCTGGCATACATTGGTATAGAGTATTAAAATGTCTAATTTGGGCCTCCCAGGTGATGCAGCAGGTTCAGTACAGTGTTGTGAAGCTGTCCGCAGCCTATGCAATGCCAGTTCGATTTCCAGCTGATACCCACATGGTGTGGCCATGGTGTGGTCTAGACCTCTCCTGTCTAGACCGCTGCTCCCCTCAGCAGTGCTTTCGGTCCGCCTGCCTGTTCTGCTCCCCGCTCTGTCTCTGGTGAATCCTCTCACCCTCCCATGCCTTTGGCCTGTACCCCAGCTCTTGTATAAATAAATATTAAAAAAAAGGTCTAATTTATTTTCACATGTGTCATCTCATTACCTTTACAATAATCCTGTGCAGTACAGAGAGCAAGTGCTATTGTCTCCAGTTTGCTTATAAAGAAATTCATTCCAGTAATAAGTCTCCTAGATGTCTTTGGACATACCAAATTTTGTGTTAATGATGTAGAGAAATATGTCTTTCTGAAAATTTATTAGCTGTCACTTTGTTCAGATGTCACTAATGAACTTAAAACCCTTTTGCAGCTTCCCAGTTAGGGTCAGAATCAGCCAATGTTACCCTGGGGCAAACAAGAAAAACAAAATGATTTTCTATGTAATGAGGACTTTGCTCACATGTGTTACAACATTGGCATGAGCGTGGTTTTGAAGTGTTTAAGCTTACTTGAACACTGTACAAAGAGAGAGCTGCTTAACAATTTAGATATCTGTTTTGCTCTCTGCCATATATGTGTGTATGTGTGCTCACGTGCATGTGTGCCTCTCCACACCAAATAGACGCAGAACTGGAAAAAGACAGAGAACTGATCTGAAATGCTCTGGACTGGGTTTGGGTGAGTGAGATTTAAACCTTGTCTACTTTCAGCTTTCTGTCCTCGTGGTATGATGCCAATTAGAAATCAGCAGAACATGCAGTCAGAGGGCAGCAATTGGGAAACAATTCTTTTGTTTTGAATTGAGACACGAAAAACAGAAAAGTATTTAAAATATAGCAGAATTTTTCAATATTAGACATTCACTTGTTTAGCTAATAAATGGGGATTCAAGGACAGAGATGACACAGCTCTTATTTTGAGGTGCTCACTTGGCCTTGAGCTGGTATTAGTAGCTGAATATTACCAGACACAGCAGGAATAGAGGGTAAGGAGGGGTCTAGAGATACTCAGATGGTGATACATACAAGGCGTAATGATTGAGTGAGTGAGGGAGGTGAGGCAGAGGCAGAAAGAGAGGAGAAAATGATGCCTAAGAATTAATCACCAAAGAGGGAGCTTTAGTACTGTCATGATGAGGTATACAATGCCGGAAGAAGTGGAAAGGTTTGAGGTGTCCTACATCCTCAAGCAGAGCTACTCAGAAGGCAGTTACGATTCAGAAGCAAGAAGCAGCAGGGCAGGATAAAGACCTAAGATATATAGATAAAGTGACATTACTCAGAGAAAGAAGCAGGAAATGGATGAAAGGCCCAGTAAGGGATGACCCAAGGTAGGGGGAGAACAGCAGGCAGAAGCTAAGCAGTCCTGTCACTGTCAAACACTGCAGAATGGTCACAAAAGGGTGAGGATGATGAAGATGGATTTAACATTTAAATATTTAAGATGACTGAAATGGAAGTAGTTCCAGAAGCACTGTATGCACCACTAATATTAATAGATTAAGGAGAATGTGGTAGGCAGAATAATGACCCCCCCCATTATGTGCCTATACTTTTCCCTCATGCATGTGAATGTATTATTTTACATGGAAAAGAGCTTTTGCAGTTGTGATTAAGGTACAGATTTTGTGATAGGAGATTATTCTGAATTTTTCTCTTATGTCCAGTCTATCACACGAGTTCTTATAAATGAAAGAGAAGGCAGGAGGAGAAGGTCAGAGGGACTTAAGAGGGAGGAAGAGGGCCTTGAGCCAAGGAATGTGCTGCTCTGTAGAAGCTGGGAATTGTTCTCAGCTTATAGTCATGAAAAAAATAACGACCTCAACCCTACAACTGCAAGCAATAGAAATTTACCAATAACTCCAATGAGCAGGAGCTAGATTATCTTCTAGAGTGTCCAGAAAGGAGCACAACCTATGGACACCTTGATTTTTTTTTTTTTTTGAGACCCGTATAAGACCTGTATCTACAAAACTGTAAGATAATACACTGGTGTTTCAGCCACTAAGTTGGTTGGTGACTTGTTATAGCAGCAATAGGAAGCTAATATGGAGACGTTAGAATTCAACAGTCATGGCAATGACGAGAAAGTCAACAGCTCTTTCAAGTTATTTAATAGATAAAAATCAATGATTATGAAATTTGAAAAGGGATATAATATGACAAGCATTGAAGTGACACTCTTTGGGGTGCAAGTTCTGATGTTTGACTCAGAGATATATCCAGAATTTGACTGTACAGGCCAGTTAATTTGCATGGGTGAAACTGACATGTAAGATCACTAAATTTGTTGCAGGAACTATAACACATCCTTCTCCACCCTTTTGGACTCCATTTCCTAACTAGGCTTAATTTTTTTTAGAGTAGTTTTAGGTTCACAACCAACCGAGAGGAAGATACAATTTCCCACAGGCCCCCCCGACCCCACCATCCACAGCAGGCGTCAGAGTGGTTCATTTGTTACAGCGATGACCCTACTTGACACCACATTATCACCCAAAGTCCATAGTTTACATTAAGCATCACTCTTTGCCATAAACACGCTTTTAAGCCTAAAATAGAGACAAGCCATCAGCACCTTCTGGCGTAGGTTTCCTTTCACCCTGATTTCCCCACTGTAATCACTCTGCAGCCTGTTGGAGTCCACGCGGCGGCTGGTTGGGAGCGTGCGCGTGCAGTCGAAGGCACCTTTAATTTTCCCTGCTCCGTCTCTTTCCATGTCTCCGCTCAGCAGTCCGGCTATTACGATAAGTGCTTAATGTGGGCTCCAGCTTTGTTGTGGCATCATTTAGATGATTGCATGCTGGGCCGACACAAGTCAGAGGCGGCAAACGCATTACAGGCTCATCGTTACCAGCTTGCGGGGGATTCAGTGGATGGAATGGTGGTAAACCTCAGCGCTTCCACTGAGACACCATTCTATTTTGCTCTTTTCTCAGCCTGTCCCGTTCCCTTATGTTCTGTCCCTTGTAAATTCTGTCTCTCTATGTGGCTTGAAGCAAATGGGTAGCCTGTCTGTTTTTTCAGCCTTGCTGAACCCCTGGGAAAAGAGAAATATCAGTTGGTGAAGACATTGTTAATGCCTTCCAAACTAGAAAGGGTTAGGGGCACTTGCAGTGACGACCACAAGCTTTTAAAACCTCTTTTCAATAATGGTATATACATTTCAACATACTTTAAAATTTCTGTGGATATTGCAATTGTTCCAATTATACTCATTTGTTTTTGAAAGAAAGTTGCTGGAAACAAGGTCACCTGTATTTTCTATAAACATGTCCTCAGGGTGCCATCCAATGCACACCACTCATTTCTATTGACACTGTAAAAGTCTATAAATCTAAATGAGCTCTTTTTTTATATATATAAATAATATATATTTTAATAATATATACATTTAATAATATATATTTAATATATATTATATATATTGCATCCATCTAGTTTTCTTTCCCACGCCTTATATGCAACTATTAACATTAAGCATTTCTTTACAATCATTGTTCAATCCAATTATTAGACACACCACAAAGTGCTGGGCCCTGCACTGATAAAAATACTAGCAGTAATTCTTCTAATAGTGATCATTAGAGCAATTGTCTCTCCCCATGCAAGCAGTGCTTTGCAGGGCCAAGCAGGTGTCCATGGACATGTACATGACTTTCTGGCGCATTCATATTCCTCACCCCTACCCCGGAAAGGTACCAAACTCAGCCTATAGCCTTATTCCCAGGAGAAATCCCTTTATCCTGAAGGGGCATAAAATGATGAGGAAAAGGGTGTGGGAGGAGATTGTATTTTGTAGCTGCTTACCCCTAAGACAGCACCCGTATTGGTGTGTGGCCTTCCTGATCTAGCTGTCCCAGGACTCTTATCCCAGGCAGTGACTGGGTCACTCTTTCTTATCATGAACATTTGACAATATGGGCACTTAATAATGCAAGTAAATATACAACTGTGCGTGCATTTACTTTGAATCTTTAGAAGCAAATCCTGCTTATCCATCCCCCTATAAAATTGTCTTCTTACCAGCGACACTAATAATATGCCACCCCTTATTTCTCTTACCTCAGAGTTCTACCATGTTTGAGTCTTGGAAAAAACTGATTTGTGCATGGCTTCAAAAGCTAACATTCATTAACTATTTTAAAACATGAAATCTTCCAGGCAATGAAGATATTTAGTTGAGTAAAACTCTGTTTCTGGGTTCAAGAATCTACCTTCTATGACTTATAAAGCCCTGCTCTCCCCAGGGCCAGTTATGCACCCCAAGGACAGAGTGGGCACCACGAGACCAGTCCTAGGTCCCAAGGACATGCTTCGCAGCTCACTTCCTATTGTGAAAGCCACATGTGCGAAAGCAGGTGGGCCCAGGTGGAGCTTAGAGAGCTGTGGCTTCGTTTTAATTCATGTTGCTCTGAGTGTGGGGCATTTGGTTTCTATGTGTCAGTAAAATGGTTCATCCTGGAGGATTGACTGATGCAAACTGGAGTGAATTTGGCCGTCTGGTCCCATACATACCTTCTCTGAGTGTCAGCACCTCTTGGATGTAGTTGGTGGCTGTAGCCGGAGTGTGGAGTGTAAGCCAAGAATGCTGTCGCTTTGCTCCTCCCCGTTTGACCTGCAGGGTCCTTTGACCTGTCAGGACCACACTGATGTCTGGGAGTGCTTATGGCTGGGGCAGAGCTCTGATGCGCACTGAGTCCCAGGGATGCTGTGGCCCCATAGCATTGCTGTGATGGGACGCAGTGGGCATATCATGAAACATTGTCTTTAAATGTTAAATGTTAAGTGTGTCTTCAAAATGTAAATCATATACATTTGCTTTCTATTCCATTTCTATAATATCTAACGGGACTGGTTACACATTTGGGTGACTATATTAATTTAAGTAATTCCTTTATCATATGTAACTGGCCCATGATATAAGAGCTATTTCATAAATATGAAAACAAGTATTTCCATCAAGAGAAATGACTTTTCTATTCATAGACATGACAGGATGATCAGGGAACACCGCTCGCAGGGACTATGGGGCTACATGTAGGTTGGTCTGAGTAGCTGTGATAACTGCTGAGGAGGAAGATGGTGGGAAAGTGCAGCGGGAAGAAGTCAGGGATGTCTAGGATTGCTTTGAGTGCTCAAGTTCTATGAAGTAGGCTGTGTAAAGGCCGGGGTTTGGGCATCTCTGGGTGAATACTGAGAAAGTGAGATGCATGGGCACAAACCCCTGACAGAACAGATTTTGATAGCTGGTTCAGGCCAGGAATGTGATCCAAAGAAATATGATTTGCCTTTCTTTTCATTGGTTTCTCTTTAGGGAATAATGTAGGCTGGTTTTCGTTCAGCTTGTAACCCCAAAGTACCTTGGGAAATGGGCATTCATTTTTCATTCATTTTGCTTTAGAAGTCGATGTCCTGTCTGGCTATGCCAGCAGGAGCCTTTAGCCCCAGGGCAACCACTCCAGGGTTCATGTCCTCTGTGCCATCTTGGGCAGGAATCCTTCCCCTCTCACTTCCTGTGGACTCAGAACATTTCAGCTACAGAAAACGTTAACAACTTCCTCCTGGGTCTCAGGCTTTCTTGACTCTGGGAGCTTCCTGGGTTTGCTGACATCACCCTCATGTGAAGGAGGATTGGTCTGCCTGTTGAAACATACATGTCATTGAATGGATTCTATTATTAAGAAAAAGGAAAAAAAAAAGCTAACTCAACCAGACACACCTTCAATGGCTATTGTTCAACACTGGGAATTTGTGGTTCTGTGCCACGGACAGGAAAGGAAGAGGTGACCCTGACAGGCATTTCCTAAGTGAAGATTAGAAAGAGCCTGGTGAGACTGGAATCGGTCAAGAGGAAATGAGCAGCAGTGCTCTCCCTCCAAATAGGGTGATTCTGAGGGGGTTATTCCGAGGAAAAGATGTAATGACAGGAGCCTAACAACTAGGAATTTCAAAACAAAACAAAGCACTGTTATCACCGCCTAACCAGCTGGGGGTTCCCGTAGAACTTCAGGGTTCTGCTCCTCACCACCCATCAAAAAACCAGACATATTCACTCTTCAGCAGTGTTGTAGCATCCTCTTTCAGTGATCTATTCCAGTGCTGGACCTTCCGCTGTCTGGAAAACTTTTCTCATGTCTAACCCAAATCCCTCACGCTGCAGCTGAAGCTCACTTCTTCTTCCTCTGTGCTAATGGAGATGGAAAAGAACTTGTCACCATTTCCTCCTTCAGAATCCTTCAGATGCTCGGTGACTTAAAAACAAATCTCATTTTCCCTTGGTCATTCAGAACTTCCCTTCAAATTGATAAATCTGAAGAATTTCTTGTCAACTCTTTTTGCTCAGGAGAATGAGCTCTAGTTACTAAGCAAAGTGGAAGCCCTGGAACAAGCACCCCTGATCTGGCTTGTCAAGGAACATGCTTTGCCCTGGACTCTCAATTTCCAAACAGAATGCAATACACTGTTTAAAGAGCATTTTGTTTTCCTTTTCTGGAACCCATTGTGTGTTGCGTCAAAGACAATGAGTGGTTCATACAGCTGCAGTTGTCCAAGTACTAACCTTCCCGTGCAGGTCCCTGTGAGTTCTCAGAACAAAGAGTGAGGGGTGTGCGGTGTGTCTGTGTGAGAACACAGAGGGGTGATTGGGGTGGGGACCCCTGGTGCCCCTTTTCCCATCTTGAAGCTTTTACTGCCTCTTTCTTCCAGCCTCAAGAGGCTGTCCCCACAGCGACACTTGCACTCTGAGGAACTGCATAATCGTTGGCACCGATTTGGGGGACAGTAAGCCAGACTGGGCGGGGATAGCATTCCATTATTATAACACAATGCCATAATAGGATACAAAATTCTTTTCATATTAATTCTTACACAAAAGGAGTCTTGAAATGCAACTTGTCCATTGAAAAGGTAGGCAATATGCAGCCCTTTGTTGTGTTTTTTGCAGCCAGTGTTATCTTGCTCCTCTTGGGGGCTTGCACGTGGGTCTTAGTTGCTGTCCCTAAGGAGGAGCCTCTCCCGGGGAGGAGCATGGGGCTCACTCACAGCCACCAGCACACAGCCTTCTCGGAGGCCTTCCCTGGGTTGCTCTGAACTGGCAGCCAATGCTGCTTTTGGGAAACTGGTCCTTCTGGAAGGCTGTGTGCATTCTTCTTGCCCCATGACCAGAGAGCCTTGGACTGTGAAGTCAAAGTGTACCCAGGCCTCTTCAGACACTTGCAGCATCTGCAAAGCTGTTGGTGCCCATGTAGGTCTCAGTGAAGAGTTATCTCCCACCCTCCACCCTCCAATCCACCCATCTACCCACTAACCCTCAATTGTCTTGAGGCTTATGCAGGATGGGCCAGGACATGGTGTCCTCCATCCTGTGCCACTTTCCCTGGGGCTAGCAGAGCGCTGTGTGTACCTTCTTAGTGTTGACAGGCTGACTCACCAGCTGGGGACAGATGCTGGAGCCCAGAAACCTGGATGCTATTTCTAGCTTGGCTGTGGGCCCCGGCTCCGACTTAGGAGAAGTCCCCGGGCAGCCGCTAGGTTAGGCTGCCGAGTTGGGGTGGACACAGGGAGATGTGGGACTTATTCTTCATAAAAGTGTAGAAATGAGTTTAGCAGTCGTTGTGACTTGGTCCAACCCAAGTCCAATCTCTGACTTTGGCAATGGTGAGGAATGAAATAAGTATGTTCAAGAAGCTTCCATGAGCTCTGCAGAGTTCTGGTTCATGTTTGAGAGTAATTTAAACTCTCAGCCTGAATTCATTGTTGCACTTACTCTTGAACATACATGTATTTAGAATATTTATTGAGAGCCCTTCATAAAGATCTCCATAACTTTTAAGTGTAAGTGAATATTCTTCAAACCTCAACACTCCCCTTGAGATCAATTCCTTTTCAAGCACCCTGCACGCTAGGGGTTGCTTGGACAGTATTGCAGACTCTCTTAATTCCTTTCTTGATTGTGGGGCAATTATGACATGTTTTCTTATTTTCTATTAGGTTTATACTTGTTCTTTGCATGAAAGGGACTCCAGATGTAAATGTGATTATGATCCTCTGAATTGCTTCTGCACAAATGGAGCACCAGAATTTCCCGAGCTGTTTGTATAGGAAGGAATTGGGCTTGAATTTTAATGGTGAATATCATCCTGAAAAAGCTAGAAAAGCCAGGAAAAATTAACATTGCTAAAGAGGACCACAAGCCCCCAGAGGCTACAGCTCTGAAGGTCACCCGTAAGTGACCATGATTTAATGAAGTGGTGCTCCCTTTGATTAGTAAGAAGTTGGCCTGGCATCTTCTGCAGCATAAATACCCTGTTTTGGAGCATGCCAAGCAAGTGCTTTCAGCTGCTGCAGTTTCTCCCGGCTCTAGTGAGCTGGCAGTGGACAGTAGAGGACATTCCACTGAAATCGGGCCATCGGGGGCTGAAGACAAAGGCAGCTGATTCAAGTGCACCAAATTGGAGTTTCTCTAATCAAATATATTAAATTCACCATCATTCTTGATTGTTTTAATGGGAAGAAAGGGCAGCTGTGCCCTTCATTTTCCAAGCATTTTATTTGGTATTGTGGGGAGGAGGGACGGGGGAAGCGGGACGAGAAGGGAAGAGGGGTAGAGATGGCAAAGAAAGCTACAGGAAGCTAATGTCTTTGTCTTGAAAGTAAAATGATTTTGCATGCTGTTCAGATCTACACTGAGAGTTCCCAGAGCAGCCACTCATAGAGTAAAATCCAAGATAACCATTTTAAAAAGCACGTTTACACAGAAGCAGCAAAGCAGCCAGCTAACAGGCCAGGGGGCTTGAAATACTGGGGCAAAGGCAGACATGGGTGACTAGCGTTAAACAGACTTGCTTCACTGGTTCCATAAAAGCCTGCTCACTTGAGCATTTTTTTCTCCCTGCATATTTGTGCTTTGCACAAAAGGATTTAAATTCTAAGACACTCGGGAGAACATATCTCTTCTCCTTTGTAACCTTCCTGGCTAAGAGCAACATTCACAAAAGATTTTTTTTTTTTTCACCATGTGAGCCATGGGATTTAAAATTCTTGTTAAGAAACTGATGGCCCAACCTATTTTTTTTTTTTCTAAAGTAGTTTAACAGAAAGTCCAAGCGTGATGCTTCCTGCCCAGAGCTCAGCACTACATACAAAGTCTTGGTATGTACCTCGAGCTTCAAAGGAGAGCCTTGAGCACATGATGTCACTTCCTCTGTCTGTGGAGTTGATAACAGGATGAACCTGAACAAGATATGAACCAGACATTCCATGGTGTAATTAATTATTTCGCTCCGTTGTCAGGCAGGGCACTTAGGTAGACAGAGTTTCTGCACTTAGAGCTTCGCACACACAAACGCGCTTCGCAAAGGAAACAAAGCTCTAGGAATTGCAGCG